TTATGCTCAGTGTAGTCAGATCTTGTGTTTCTTCTAGAGTTGAGATCTTAGCCTCAAATTTTTCAGGCACAGTGACTAAGATCTTCTCAACAACCCTAGAATCATCAAAATTCTCACCAAGCAGCCTTAGTTAATTCACATTTTTCATGATTCTATCCAGATAGTCCTTGATACTTTCACTTTCTTTCATTCTCAAACTTTCAAACTCTCTTCTCAGATTCAGAGCTTGCATTAGCTTACCTCTGTCAGACCCTTGGAACTCTTCTTGAAGTTTGTCCCAAGCTTCTTTTGCTGCTGTGCAAGTCATGATTCTGGTGAAGACTTCCTCAGTGACTGCAGCATGGATGCAGGTAAGAGCTCTGTGGGTTTTAGCTACCTCTTCAACATATCTGGTTTGCTGATTTAAAGAAGCATTTGCAGGAAGTGGATCCACCACTCTTCCATTCACAGGCTCCCAGATGTCATTCCCTTGCATGAATGACTTCATCTTAACAACCCAGATCTGGTAGTTCTTACCATTGAAAACTGGGGGTGAGGTCAGAGAGAGGCCAGTTGAAGTCATTTCTGAGTAACTTACAACTGGCAGAGGTCAAGAAAGAGAAGAAGAACACTCAACCCTCACAATAACTCACTGATTCACTCCAAAGAAAACCTCACAATCCCTTTCCAATATCAAGAGGGCTCTGATACCACGTGTAGTTTATACACAATGCTTGTAATTTCCAGTTGCACAAACTGCAGAAAAGCAATGTAACAGTGCAAACTAGGAAAAAACAGAATGGTAAAAGAACAACTTTTGAACTCAAAACAGTGGCTTAGCTTCAGTGCATCAGATCCACTTTTCCATTTCAATTTGATCTGTTTTCTCACAAATTACACCAAAAAGAAGAGGGAGCAACCTTTTAAAGGCTCAACTACAAACCCTAGGTTGATCTGCAACTACTAAAACAAACAAACAAAAGCTTAAAGACAAAACCAAGTACAAGAGTCACTTTCAATGTTCCCCAGAAACAAAACAAGAAGAGGCATTGGCAAACATGACCTTCACAGTGGTCCCTCAACATTCTTAGCTTCAGTCCAAGGTTGAAGATAGTCCAAAACGTCTCCCAGCTGGTTCCATCTTCATCTTCATCTCTTTCCAGCAAGCTTCCTCTGTTTCTCCAGCAGCACTCGTCATTTCTTGTGCTCCAAGACACAGGTAGGTTGAGAGGGTACCACCAAGTAACAAACTTCAACAGTTGGGCCCAGAACCAACCCAAGAAGAAGATGAGTTGAGTCTAGCGGGCCGTCCAGAGAAGTGGGCCGAACCCAACAAGAGGGCAGGCGGGTTGGACCAGATGTGGGCGGTTGACCAAGGTGGGTTCGACTCGAATCAAAATGACCGAACCGGGTGGACCAAACCCGGTCCGACTGGCTGGACCCACACGGGTCAAACCGGAATTGAACCGCCGTGGGAAGACCAGCAGCAAGGCGGACCGAATCGTGGGGTTCCAATGGGCGGGCGCGGATCGTGTAGCGAGGGAGGAGGCTTCCAACCACCTCTAATGGGCCCAGACGGACCGAGACGAGCAACCCAGGATTCGAGGAGCTGGTATACAAGGCAACCCCGAGGCGAGGAGGGAGCGGAGTACATAAACAGGGGCCCGAGAAATTCGCACAGTGGAAGGTATGCTTGGTATGACCGCTTTAATGATATGGACGATGACTTAGTTTTCAGAGCTAAGCCTCCAACCATTGAATTTCGGAAATTCAATGGGCAAGAGGATGCAGGGTTGTGGTTGTATGCAGCTGACAGGTGGTTTAAGAACCACCCGACTCGGGAGGAGAGGAAGGCGCATATGGCGTCCTTCTACCTCGATTCTAGGTAAAAGGCATGTTGGAAGAAAAGTGATAGGAACTAAATGGGTTTACATGATTAAATTAAACTCAAATGCTTCATTCAACAAGTTCAAAGCAAGAGATGTGGTTAAAGGGTTGCTTAGCAGTCTGGGATTGACTATGGTGAAACTTTTGCACCAGTGGCAAGGCTATATACTATAAGACTCCTACTGGCTATTGCTGCTCAGAAGAACTGGAAAGTGCATCAGCTAGATGTGAAATCTGCTTTTCTAAATGGCTATCTTTAGGAGGAGATATATGTTGAGCAGCCCGAAGGCTTTGTGATTCCAGGGAAAAAGGATCATGTTTACCTACTGAAGAAAGCTCTCTAAGGACTAAAACAAGCTCCAAGAGCCTGGTATTCCAGGATTGATGATTATCTTGTGAGATTAGGATTTTCTAAGAGTCCAAGTGAACCAACCCTCTATGTGAGAACTGATGAGGTTGGAACTGTGATGATTTCTCTGTTTGTGGATGATCTTCTGATCATTGGAAGCAATGTGAAGAAAATAGAAGACTTCAAAACCAGCATGATGAATGAATTTGAGATGACTGATCTGGGTTTGATGACTTACTTTCTTGGCATTCAAGTTGAGCAGACTGAGAAAGGCATTTTCATATGCCAGAAGAAGTATGCAAATGAAGTTTAAAAAGATTTGGAATGGAGAATGCCAAGGATGCTACTACACCACTTCCAGTGAGAATCCAACTGACAAAAGAAGATGGATCAGGCTCATTTGAGCCTAAGGTTTACAAGAGTTTGATTGGAAGCCTGTTGTACCTTTCTGCAACCAGACCAGACATAATGTTTGCCTCTAGTTTGCTAGCAAGGTTTATGCAATCTCCAACTCAAATCCACTACAACACAGCTAAAAGATTGCTAAGGTACATTAAAGGTACCACTTATCTTGGTTTGAAGTTTGAAGGAGGTAAAGGAGTGTGTTTGGAGGGTTTCTGTGACAGTGATTGGGCAAGATCTTCTGAAGACATGAAAAGCACCTTTGGCTTTGCTTTCTCACTGGGATCTGCAATCTTTTGCTGGAGTTCAAAGAAACAAAGCATTGTAGCTCAGTCAATTGCTGAAGCTGAGTACATTGCTGGTTCAGAAGCTGTCAACCATGCTGTTTGGTTGAGAAAAATCATGGCAGATTTGGGTTTTGAGCAAACTAAACCAACTATCATTTGGTGTGATAATCAATCTTCTGTTGCCTTGACTAAAAATCCAGTGTTCTATGGAAGAACTAAGCACATCAAGATCAAGTATCATGTGCTTAGAGAGGCTGAAGCTGAAGGATTGATCTCTATGAAACACTGCTCTACACAAGACCAGTCTGCTGATATTTTTACTAAGTCTTTGATCAAACCAAGGTTTGAAGAGTTGACAACATGATTGGAATGGTCAGTGGCATTGGCAAGGAGTGTTGCAGTTTGTTACTTGGTGGTACCCTCTCAACCTACCTGTGTCTTGGAGCACAAGAAATGAAGAGTGTTGCTGGAGAAACAGAGGAAGCTTGCTGGAAAGAGATGAAGATGAAGATGTAACCAGCTGGGAGACGTTTTGTACTATGTCCAAACTTGGACTGAAGCTAAGGATGTTGAGGGACCACTGTGAAGGGCATGTTTGCCAATGCCTCTTCTTGTTTTGTTTCTAGGGAACATTAAAAGTGACTCTTGTACTTGGTTTTGTCTTTAAGCTTTTGTTTGTTTGTTGTAGTAGTTGCAGATCAACCTAGAGTTTGTAGTTGAGCCTTTAAAAGGTTGTTGCCTCTTCTTTTTGGTGTAATGTGTGAGAAAACAGATCAAATTGAAATGGAAAAGTGGATCTTATGCACTGAAGCTCAGCAACTATTTTGAGTTCAAAAGCTGTTCTTCTACCATTATGTTTTTTTCTAGTTTGCACTGTTACATTGCTTTTCTGCAGTTTGTGCAGCTGGAAATTACAAACATTGTGTATAAACTACACCAACAATCCTAGCCCGTTGGGCACCCAAGCCCGACTCCCCTCTTCCTCATAGTTTAGTGGGCCCACATTGTCATAGACCGGCATGTTGGCCTTGCCACGCCGTGCCGCCATGTCTTGGGTCGTCGGGGTTGGAAGCAGGCCCGCCTCATTGTTGGCCCAAAGTGAACTTGGCCCGCACGCCATGTCTCCTGCCCTAGCCCGATCGCCGAGGCCGCCGACCCGCCTGCTCCTGCGGCCGTTATTGCCGCCGCCCCCTTAGCGGCTCCTGCCGCCGCCGCCGCGGTTGGCCTTTCCCCAACCTCACGCTCGAGGCCCATAGTGGTCTCGGCTCTCGGCGGTTTGCCTTGCCTCACCTCTGCATCTCATGCCAGTTTGCTTAGAGCTCGCCGAATTTCATCCATCTCTTCTTGACGTCTCTCCTCCGCCAGCTCTCGATCTGCCATCAGTCTCTTCACAACAACTTGGAGTTCGCCCACCGCAATGTGGAGTTCTTCTAGCCTGGTCTGGTCCACCACCGTGACCGGCTTTAGTACCCGAGTCGTTGGGTTCGGCAGGTTCCTTTCCAGCGCCGGAGCAGGCGCCGCCGAACCGCCCTCGTCGCCGCTGCTTTGCCCAGTCGCCGCGGTGCTCGCGGTTGCCTTTTCCTGGGCCGCCTTCTCCGCGGCCTTCTCCGCAGCCTTCTGAGACTTTGTTACCGCCAAAACGTGATCTTGTTCATTGATGATTTGCTTGGATCAGAATGGGGCTCTGATACCAGATGATAGAAACCTAGAATTAGGTTCTATCGGTTTCTAGGAATTTGGAGAAAAGAGGCAAATCACCAAGGAAGTGATTAGCTCCTCTTGAGGAAAATGAGAAGGGAAGAGGGAAATTGGAAATTGAGAGGGTGAAGGAAGGAGGAGCTGCCGTGGCAGCAGTGAAGGGAGGGGAAGTTGGGATCGACCGAGAGAATGGAAGAAAGAGGGATTAGAGAGTGCTTTAGGGTTTAATTTTGCTTAGTGGTCTTATTCCACGTACAAGTAGTTTATATAAAAATGGATAATTTCCTACTGTTACCCGACTTATTAAATATCCCCAATTCACCCTAATAATTCTCGAAAAGTCATAAAATAACAAACCGACAAAGATAATCCGAATAAGCAAACTATAGAAAATTCGAGTTTCTATCAATAGCTCGAGGAATTAAGAACCAATTAAGGTCAGGTCAGGAACTTCTAGTGCCTCTTGGTGTTGACCTTTAGCTAAACTGCAAAGAACTGCAGAATAGTTACAAAAAGAAACGTCTGTAGGTTAATCTCTCAGATTCTGCATCTTTGAAACATTGATCTAGCGGCATCACAAACTTGCAAGCATTGAAACGGAAAGAAGAGCTGCGGCGGATGTGAAATGCCAGCAATTAATGCATCGAGGTTAGTTACTGACGATCCGCCCTCTGCAACAGCTGAATTGCATATATCTCCAAGCTCGCTTGCTCTCGTCCTCATTCGTTGGCCGACTTTGCTTCCACTATCCATGAACTGCTCCACAATTCGAGCAATCTCTGCTCTACTTATCTTGGTTTCTTGCTTCAGGTGTATGTCGACCTCACACCCAATCCCCCAATCTTCAACAATCTGCGTACTGTCAACATGGGAACCCCAGCAAAAGATGCTTCCAGAGTCGAATTCCAACTGCAGTGACTCCAAAACCCTCCTACTGAAGAATGGCTCAATACCTTCAACTGATCACATCATGGCAAAACGATCCCCTTCTTGCATTCACCCGTTAGGTTCAGCCGCCAAGCTTCTGCACGAGCTATCCACAGGAACCGAATGCCAGCAGCTTCAAGGCCTGCGAGGATTTCATCTATTTGAGTGCTTGAAACTGAGAGAAACTCCCCAATGAGATATATAGTACAGAGGCTTTTGGTTGGTTGTGAAGCCACTCCATGTAGTCGACACTGTAGGAACTCCGTCGTAGTTCCAAGTAGGGAATCGTCGGGCCGATCGGATAGACTGGAAATGTGAAAGATTGTTTTAAGGAATCCATGGTTTGAATTTCGAGTTCATAGATGGAAGTAAAGTGGAGATACTGTGCTTTTGGCACCTGGAAAATGCATTCCAAGGCAAGTTCCAGCTCTGAGATTATTCTTCTGGAACAACGTTTTTAAGTTCAGAAACTTATGAAGTAGAAACCCCAGGAATGGAATCCATACGATCTACATTAACACAAAGAGAAAAACAAAATCACTCACAAGTTTAGATCAGAGCATTATAACAAAAGACACCCCATTTCTGCATTTTACCTAAAAGATCCTTTGGCGGTGAACTCAGGCTTTTTGGAGCAACATCCAGATGATACAACATGGAAAAGAAGGAAGCTGACATCGTCCAGAAAGCTGCCACCGGAATATTCCTTCGGTCTCCAACTCCTATAGGCTATAGCCCATCTGACTTCAATGTCACCGATGATAGCAGTCACCGGAGGTTGAAGCTGATCAAGGAGCTGTTTAAATGGGATTCCATCTCCGTCATCACAGCTTCATAGAATCCTGGAAAGTCTATTGCTTTCAGGCGTTCTGGTGGAATTACGTTGGCTGTGATTTTGAACTGAACTATCTCAGGCTTTGGTTCTGAGGTTATGCAGCTTTGGTTCTGAACTTATGCAGCGAAGCCACTCCTCTGTGATCACAAAGGTGATAAGGAAATTTCTTCATCTGGAAGCAAGCAACTTGTAGAAGTTCATCATGGGGTTGATGTGCCCTCTCCCTGGGAACGGCATCACCACCAGATGATGGCATACTTCCTTCGGTTCCATATCAGGAGAGCAATTTCTGCTGAAAATGAGAGAACTTGGTAGAACACTAGAAAAGGGTTCTCCTTATTTTCTCAAGATTAGAATATGTAACTCACAAAAGGGCAAAGCATGCTAGATAAATGGTCAAGTGGCTTGTGGAGCTAGCCACCTGCTACCTTGCTTTGTGCATTTCTTGCTTTATGATCTTTAGTTCTTTATCCTTTATTTTATGTTATCATCCTTCCTCGTGATGTGTGAAAAAAACGCCTGTATTGTTGCTTACAGATATTCATCAACATCAACAACACTAACAAGCTTTGGAAACGTCTGAGATGAAGTCATCGAGGTTTCTATCAGAAGATCCACCTTCTGCAATTGCTTGCCTGCATATCTGCCCCAGCTCTTTGGCCCTCTTTCTCATTTCCCTAACCTCACTATTCTCTCCATCCATAAACCTCTTTACAACTTCACATATCTCACCTCTCGTCACCAACTCACCATCATCTATTCCCAACCCACCAGGATCTCTCTTCAACCTCCACCCAATTCTCCATTTCTCAACAATCACCCTACTGTTGGGAACCTGATCGAATATAAGAGGGAAAGTAAGCATCGGAACACCCCCATAAACAGCTTCCAAGGTCGAATTCCAGCCGCAATGAGTCCAAAACCCTCCCACTGAACCATGGTTCAGCACCTTCAGCTGGTCGCACCATGCCACCACCATCCCTTTCTCACCACCACCAAAGCTTTCTTGTAACCTATCACTCTCTCCGCGAGCAACCCACAAGAGTGGAACAGAGCTTTCCCTGAGACCCGCTACAATTTCCTCCATTTGCCGCTTTGAAACGGACAGGAAGCTCCCTAATGAGACATACAAGACTGAACCTTCAGGGTGGGAATCTAACCATTGGAAATAATCAGCAGCAGGTTTAGTAACTGTATCGTTGTCGAGTTGAGAGAAAGGAATTGCTGGGCCAATTGGGTAAACTGGGCACCGAAATTCCGATCTCAGGGAGTTGAAGACTTCATGTTCAAGCTCATGGACAGAGTTCACCAGTAGATACTGAGCTTTTGGCACCCATGAGATGCATTCTAGAGTCAAATTCATGATTTTCCGGTCATCCCCACGGAATATTGCTCGGAGATCTGCTACCTCCGGCGGAGAAATTGCAACAATTGAATGATCATGAAGATGCTCGTTTCCGTCATCTATCACAAAATGAAGAGAGGGGAATCAGAGACGAAGAAACAGAGTTCAAAATTTTGTGAAATTTGTCCAGTTTGAATTAAGAAGAAATTACCCAATAATTGGTCGCGATTCTGCACGCAGGCGAAGCGATGGAACAGGGAGAACACTCTGGCAGGGACAGTACACAGCGTGGCCACCGGGATATTCCTCCGATTGCTGATTCGGACGGCCCAACGGAGCTCGGTGTCGGAAATCATGACGGTGACGGGAGGGTCGGAGAGGCGATCGAGCAGTTGGTCAAAGGGAGATTCCATCTTGGTCATTACAGCATCGTAGAAGGCGGGGAAGTCGGATCCTCTGATGAGCTCCGATGGGATTACATTTGGGATGGAAGCTAGCCGGATATTGCTGTGAATAGTTGTGCCGTTGCCGTCGCCGCCGGAAAGGATGCGCAGCCATTCTTCAGTGATGACGAAAGTGACGAGAAGGTTGGGATTCTTGGAACAGAGAAGCTTGCAGAGGTTAAGCATGGGGTTGATGTGGCCTCTTCCTGGGTAAGGAACAGCCACCACGTGGCACCGGCGGCGGCTTCTGCCGCTGGTTTCTGAAGGGAGGGGAATTTCGGAGTTCATGACTGCGGGCTGCGGCGATGAAATTGGATTCCGGAGAAATGAGAGACATCTATGGCTGGACGGTGAGTGGTAGCTGGTTAGTTTCTTGCAATTTTTGTTTCTCTCATGGGCCTCCTCGGATCTTTACCCGCATGGATCAAGCCCACAGATCCGTTGAAGAGGATAGCGACCTTTGATCGCCAAAACCGAGTCCTAATGGGTTTATTAATTTTGGACCGGAGCCTGCAATTAGTCTTATGGGTAGGGTTGTTGATGAGCCGAGTCGAGATTTGCCTTGTTCATTGACTCGTTTATAAACGAGCCGAGCCGAGTCGAACACGAGCCAACTCATTTATTAAATCTTGACACATCATTAAGATCGAAAGTTCGGCTCGAGCTCAACTCTAAAATAATTTATAATATAAATAACCTAATATTTATATGGCATATATGATGCATGTGATTACCTAATGTTATGTCATATATGAGACGTATTTGCTTACATATACTCAATGTATTAAAGACCATATGAGGTGATATATACAACTTAATAATTATATGAATCATTAACAAACCAACTCATAAAATATAGATTGATTTTCTCATAAGTTGTAGTCGAGTTGGCTCTCTAGTCACAATGTTGGGACATCTCATAAGCTCAAAACGAGATAGTTCATGAGTTGTATTCAACGAGTCACCTAATCGAGCTAGTTCACGAGCTTCACGAGCCGAACAAGGTAGAACTTTTTTTTAATCGAAACAGCTTTTATCAAGTTCGAGACCGAGCCGCTCACGAATAGCTCGACTCATTAACAACCCTAATTCTGGGTAGTTTGAGGTGCTAATTGGTTGGATCGGTTAATTACTAATTGCTATGATGGTTAGTTAACTACTGAACAAAAATGTATAATGATAATTGAACCAAGAAGATTTAATGGTTAATTGTGTGTTATCATTCGGTTAGCAGTTAACCACTAACCAATAACAAGCTTCACATGTGATGCTTTTCTTTTGTTATTTTGAAATTTTGTATGGTTTCCTTCTTATAACTAAAATATAATTATACAAATAATTTAAAGTATTTTAACATAAAATAATAATTATAAGAAATAACATCAATACAATAGAACATTTATCGTGCATTAATAATTCAAATTCAAACACATAAAATTACGAATAATCAGAAGTCTTCATCCAACTAGTAAGACATTAAACACAAGCACCACAAGATCACTATCATCCATAAACATCAAATAAACAAAGACTACTACAATGCGAGGTTTGCTATATCGGCTGCAGCAGTGGGTCACAAAGGGGTGAATTTTCGCGTTCTAACTCTTTACCGTGTTTGAGACTTTGAGAGGAGAGTTTTTGGCAATAGGTGAACACTGAGTTGTTTGGAATTGCTAATTTGGTTGCTTTTGAATCTTGAGACTTTTCTCCTAAGTCAAACTCCTAAACTACGTGATTGTACTAATATGAGGTTATCGATTTCTGGTTAACCATTACTTTGATTTCAAATTCATCGATGGAGCAATTCCTGCTGAAATGAGAAAACTTGGTAGAACATGCATTCCGCAAAAGGGCAAAGCAGGCTGAAAAATTGGTCAAGTGCCATGTGGAGCTAGCAACTACCTTGCATTTGTGCCTTTCTTTGTTCCTTTTTCCCCCTTAGATGACATCCTTCCTAATGATGTGTGAAAAAAAACAACTACATTGTGCTCACAGATATTCATCCACATCAACAACACTAACAAGCTTTGGCTCTCTTTCTCATTTCCTTAACCTCACTAAGCTCACCATCCATAAACCTCTTCACAACTTCACATATCTCACCTCTCATCAACAATTCACAATCATCTATCACCAACCCATCATGATCTCTCTTCAGCCTCCACAAAATCTTCCATTTCTCAACAATCATCCAAATGTTGGGAACCTGATCGAGTACAAGAGGGAAAGTATGCAATTCAGCAGTTGCAAAGGGTGGATCATCATTCATCAGTATTGGTGGCATTTCATAAGTCGAATAGTGAAGACAATCATTGATCTTGAAACAATGAATAAAAAAAGGTGTGAACTATAGTGACTGATATGGATACGATGGATAGGCAAAGACACCATGAAATCAAAGACACAATTCCACACAACTACCATTAGTATTAACATCGTTCCTATGATTCAGAAGAACCCTAGTAATCCGAGAAAAGTGCCAACATAGCTGATAAATGTCGCTTATGTAGAAAATTCAAAAGAGTCATCAAGTAAATCTTGACCAAACCACTTTGATTATTCCAACTAGATATAACTAGGCCAGTCTCACCTACAGATCACCACCATCACCTTGTTGTCCTGCTAATTCAATGAGCACACCAGCCAATGATTATGCCTTTGCAGCTGCCCTAGTTTTTCGAGGTGAGCAAATGCTCGAACCTACTTGCTCGTAGGAATGATCACTACCGGAAGAATCAGTCTGGTCTAAGGGGGTCAAAGGGAGGACTGGATCCCGTTATAGCAATTGTCGTGCATGTGCGGGTGCAGGTCCACGCCAATCATCATGGCGACGAGTTCTCTCGTTGCTCCGCTGACCAGGAAGGACTTGTGCAATAAAAACTCCCCCTGAACCTTAGCCTGCTCCTGACCCTGAGGAGGAGCATCCACAACAGCATGTCGTCTATGCACCTCCTCAAGCGGGAGAATAGCAAGAGGAGCATTATGTGGGAAACAATATAGTACCATTAAATTTATCATTGCAGATAAAGGTAGAAAAGTAAACTGTTAGATACTCCATTTTATTTTTAAATTGCATTTTTTTTTACCATATTAGACTTTACAAATACATCCTCCCATAAGTTTCCATATTACAGCTATTAGTTGTGGGTCCCACCCTCCCAGTAAAATCCTTTTTGACGATTCTATCTTTCTCAATCTATCTTCTGTTTTTTTTTAAACCAAGATAAGCCCCCCTTGGCATGGTCGAACACCACAGTTACAATATAGAGAATAATAAAGAACGGTAGTCCTTATGCAACCAGACTCCCAATGAAAGAGGCTGATTTGCCACGAGGTGGGCGGCTTTGTGAAAGCCCCGAGGAGTAAAAGGACATGAAACTAACTCAAATAGAGAAGAAGAGAATATCACTTCCCTACGAACACCCCATTTGAGTGTGATACACATCGAATTTGCATCCAAATGTGAAAGTGTAGGAGAGATCCGCTACAAAACAATACAAACTAAATAGCTCATATATGGGGATATAAAATTCTACTACACGAGATAGAAGAACCACTGGACGCTTAAACAACATTACCAAATATACCAACAAAGTTTATTATACATAACAAATAAGTGTAAGAAAGCGCAAGCCCTTATTGCAATACATAATATGATTACTAATAAATGTGACACCCATTTTAAAAAAGATAAAATATACTAATTACAGTATTAATATTAAAATATAAACTAAAGTGAATTACAAACCTAAAATTGAAAAGTACACTAACAATAAACAAAAAAACCCACAATAATGAAAAACTAAACCATGACAAAAATATTAAGTACTTACCTAGTAAAACTCAAAGAAACGTTAATACTACAAAGACACTAAAGTTATAAAACAATTGAAAAGAAAGAAGGACCATCAACATGCTCCTCACCCTGAGGAGGAGCATCAGTAACAGCATGCCCTCCTTGCACCTCCTAAAGCGGGAGAATAGCAAGAGAAGCATTTCTTTGCGATTTTGCGACAAGCTGTCCAATTACTCTATGAGTGGTTCAATAACCAGCTTCATCGAATTTTTCACCATCTCTTCGATGTGTTTCACTAGCTTATGGATTATCTTGAATTCTTCTTTCAATTCCATCTGACGAGCCTCAATGGCTGTCAACTCATCTACCCATTCATCTTCATCAATGGTAGCATCAGCCACTCCCTTCCCTTTCTTAGTATGCTGAACGGACTCCATTACATCCAACGATCAGAGCAATTTCTTCTTCTCCTCTTCCACAGACATAAATATTCCAAGCAGATCATTGAGTTTGTTGGCATTGTTGATGAAGAGTGCTTGATGGCTCACAAATGTCATCAAGTCAACCGGGAGCTGATTAGGATCCATATCCTATTCCACAAATTCCACGAGAGATATATAAGAAAGAAAAAAAAAAACAAGAAAAGTCGTTCGATTGAAATGCAACTACTAGCCATACCATCCTTAGGCAGTGTCGTCGTTGCCTCCGGCAACGAACGATGCACCACCCTCCTCTTCCCTCCGACGAACTTTCCCGCCCTTCTCTCTCCTTCCTTCTTCTCTGTTCACTCTTTTAGCGACTAATTATTTTATGATTTCTTTTAAGGAAAGTACAATTTGTTCTCAAACCCTTATATATGACTTGAAGGTTAAGTGGAACAAATCACATAGTCATTATTGTAATACATAATATGATTACATAATATACTAGTCACATCATTAATATTAAAATATAAAATTAAACAAAATTACAGACCTAAAATTGAAAAGTACACCGAAAACAAAACAAAAACACCAAAATAATAATAAAAACAACTAAATCATGATAAAAATATTAAACACTTACATGATAAAGCTAAAGGAACGTCAATACTATAAAAAAACACCAATGTTATGAAACAACAATTGAAAAAAAAAAGTGTTATGAAACTAATGAAAATATAAACAACTACATTAGAAGATTAGAGAGGGAAAGACACAAGAGAAGATAGGGGAAGAGTTCTTCTTATTCATTCTTAAGTTTTGATACAATGGTGTGCTATATTTATAGGCACACTTTGGTAACCACTACATCCTTATATCAATGCATATGAATGAGAGATAATGATGTAGAAATAGGGGTTACATGTAACTAGGGCTGGTAAATGGTTTCACGGTTAACGGTATAACCGGCTACCGTACCGTTAACCGATGGTAACGGTATGCGGCAGCAGGGAAGGAGTGTTCGGCATACCGGCTTATAGCCGGTTATTACCCGCCGGTTAATCGGTAATACCGAAAAACCGGAACCCTCCCCAATTCCTAGTGAAACGACGTCAACGCTCCCATTCTCTCTCTGTACCCTTCACGAATTCAACACCCTTGGACACGACCAAGCCCTTCGACCTTCCTATTCTGTTCATCTTCTCCCCAATTGTCAATTGAGTGTAACCTAACCCTAACGAAAGAGGAAGAGATGCATTGCCGTCGACCTCCAACACTCACCAGGGTCGCTGCCGCCGACTGCTGGTCGAAGCCCACCATCGATTTTGAGAGAGCGCCGAGGTTGCTGCCTTGCTGGCGGAGAATTATCGGCAACTTGATGGGAACAGGGACGATTGCCAGAAGAAATCGTCTTCTCACCTGTCGCCGGCAACATATCTCTCACTGCTCGATCTTTCCCTCTCGTCGTCGATCTCTGCTTCTCCTACCTCCCAAACTCATCCTCGAGCACCGTGCAACCACCGGTGCTGTGAAGCTCACTATCTCCCA